GAGGGTCGATGAACTGCTCGGGACGAAGGGATCGCAAACGTTGGCAAAAATAATAATAATATTTACAATCGGAAAATTTGCAATTTCGACAAAAAATGAAAGAATAATCAGAAATTTGGACATTTTCCAAAAATTCCATAAAAGTTTCTAAAATTTCTAATCTTCGTTGATAATTTCCATACAAAAAACGGAAACTCCACTGAAAAACAAAATTCACAATAAAATCTTCTTAAAAATTATCAACCAAAAAACTTCGCTCCGCCTTTTTATTACATTCAATCCGCTAACTTTCGCCCAAGTCGTCGGACATATAGTATCATCCCAATCGAAAATCACCAACGTTTGCGCTCTCGCGGGCGTAGCTGAAAAACATACCTCTGCAAAAAAATAAATTTCCTGAATAAATTCTCAACAATGTGGGAAAATAAGCACATGATTATCAACTATGGAAATTCTGTAAAATTTTCTTATTGCTTCAAAACTCTACCACGGAAAACTAACACATATTCCTTCAACACTGTAGTAGCCTACACGGTGTAGTCGTCAAAGATTCCTTCGCCGGGGTTGGTGTAGCTCCTACAGCAGTGCTGAAAAAAATGCAACATTTCAATGGTCCCGACTTCAATCCTCTCACCTCCCATTAGAAATATCCCCGTCCTTCTCCTCCTCTCCCCCTGCTGGTGTTAACAACGCAGTGAACATAGATTCATGATCTCCCTCCTCCTCCTCCTCCTCATCACGCCGACTTGATCTCAGAGATTCTTTCGGAGTCATCATAACTCCACTGCCACCATGCCTATACGTTGCCGTGGGAAAACCTTGGGGAAAAATCATTTAATCATTTCACATCGATTTCATGAATGGAGTTTCACCCTAGTGATACGAAAAACACTAGTGAAAAACATATTTCACGACTATTGCATACAACGAGTATCGCGTTTTTCACAGAGTTTTACGCCACTTCACGTTAAACGGGTTGTGAAACTCCAACAACCCAATGGTAATCAACGAAAAATTCATACACTAATAAAATGGAGTTCCATCCTAGTGATTTGAAAAAAAAACACTAGTGAAAAAATATTCTTCACGACTACTGCATATCACCACGTTTTTCACAGAGTTTTACGACGCCACTTCACGTAAAACGGGTGAAACTCCAGGGTGGAGTTTTCACATAATTAAAATGAATTTACCACTTCTAACGTAATAAAAATTAAGCAGAAAATTTTAGTTCTCCTAGGAGCAAACGTTTTTTTTAGTGGAAACTAAATTATACACGTTAGACATGGTAGAATGTACGAGGTATAAGTAAAACTTTTATCAACTCTATCCAGTCAACAGAAAAAAAGGAGGGGGAGCGCCAGTCTGGAGGTACTGCCGTATAACTCTACCGATCGGGGGAGC